GAGTTCGTTAATCAATCATTATTACGGAAAACTGAACGGCGAGCGACGATGACACAAGAGGGCAGAACGTGAAGCATAAAAATAGGATGTGGGGGAACCAGCCTGCGGTCAGGGAACGTTAATGCCGACAAAGGTTATACAGACTTCACCATAAGTTAAGGACCACCTTGACAGACAACCCTGATTTTTTTTTTTTAATCCAGAAAAAAAAGACAGCAAGGAATGTCTCAATTTTTTCCCCGTGAAAGTGTTAACTCACTGAAGACGCGCATTCTGCATGATTACTTTAAAAGACGAGGCATAACTTCTATATATTATATTCATACAGATATTTCAGTCCTTTTTCCCTTTATCTAAAACTTAAAAAGGCAGGCAACGATATGCATGCTATCGAAAATTCAAACTCGTGTTTCTGATTTGTGTATATAGGTTCGAAATGTGCAACAATTTTGTGTCTTTGGTCTGCTGCTGATCGGACGTAACTGTCCGCTACGTCGACAAAGAGTTAATGGGTTATCAATGAGTACAGCAACGCTTTCTAAAGGGGCAAAACCACCACGTGCAGCACTGAAATCCTCGGGGAATTTTAGCCAAATTTGCTGTTTTTTATCGACTTGTGTGCAACACCATGGACATTCCTCAGTGAAAATTTCTGATGCACGTCATAAACGGACGTTCTATTACGGTCTGGTACTTTGCTCACTTTGGTGGCAACATAAACCGCCGTTTGCGCAAAATCCAGTATCGCATCAACATGCCACCAAGACAACAGCTGAGAGACTTTGATCGTGCCAGAGCTATGGCATGGCTGCAGGATGAAGTTGTAGCCTGAGAAGTTCCCAGAAGGTTTTCAGTGTCACACTCTGTCATTGTCCGCTTGAGGCAACGCCATCAAGCCACTGGATCTGTCGAAGAACGCGCACATGCAGATCGATCCAAGAAGACCACTTGGTGTTTGCAAGTGGTCCTTAATTTATGTTGAAGTCTGTACATTATCTTTTAAAAAATTTATTTATTTATTTATTTATTTATTTATTTATATATATAATATGTATATATTTTGTGTGTGTGTGTGTGTGTGTGGGGGGGGGGGGGGGATCCTGTGCGCAAATAGAGTCCTCGACATCACTTGAACGTGGTATGGAGGTTGTTGGCCGAATTGTTATTATTGTGTTTGTTGGTGCCAAGTTGCTCTTTTTATTTTGAGCAAATCGGCAAAAAATGGGCACATCTTTTCAGCAACAATTGAAGACAAAAGGTTGAGCTGAAAGGAAACAGAAGGCGCCGGCCACACCAAAGCCCTCCTCAAGCAACACAGTTCGCAAGAACAGGAGTGTACCGTAATAAATGTATTTGCGAGAAGGTGGCTACATTGTTTGTTTCTTTGTTTGAGTAGAGGAAAGAACATCGACACACAAACGGTCATAAAAAAAATGTCGGCAAAAAAATAAACCCACTCTCTCTCTCTCTTTCTCTCTCTCTCTCTCTCTCTCTCTCTCTCTCTCTCTCTCACACACACACACACACACACACACACACACACACACAAGAACACGCGCAGGTTTTTTTTCTTTTTCCCTTTTTCTCCTCCCTGCTCTCCGACCCCCTCCCGGCCACACTCTCCCCCCCCCCCCCCCCCCCAAACCCCCCCCCCCCCCCCCCCAAGACCCAGCAAAAAAAGGCCGGCCATGGAATGGGGCCCCCCAGGGGTTACTGTAACTCCAACCCCCATTTAGGGGGGGGTTGGGGGGGGGGGGGGGTTTTAGTGTGCGCCCTTTCTTTCTTTTTTTTTTTTGGGGGGGGGGGGGGGGCG